CCAGCCATGATGGACTAGGTATATTAGACCAAACTTCCAACTGAAAACAGCTAGAAAAGTATAGAAAATAATTTCAAATTAATAATTATTTAAAGGCATCAGAGAGCTAGCAATGCAATAAGATGTTATGAGGCAAAAATCGAGGGGAAAAGGAAATCCATAAGTAATCTAAATCCTTAGGGTTGCTTTTTTTTTTTTTCTTTTTTTCTTAGTAGCAGTAGATGATGCCTGAGGAAACATGAAGATGCTGAAGTGGTGTCAATTTGTACCACATTTCCAGGGACCTGGAGCTAAAGAAATAAAAGCTGAAGCTAAGCCTGCCAAGGAGAGGGGACACTGGCAAATCACATAAGCTTAGAGAGAGACTTCTAAGAGCTATGCCAGGTGAATAAGAATAAAATGGAAATAAACCAGTCCTCCAAGAGACTGAAGTCCAGATTTATCATTTCAATCACCAATGACATTAAAAGAATTTAGGGTCTCTTTGCCATTTAGCAGGTTGACAGAAAAAGAAAATCTTTTCTAGAAGGAAATAATTTCATCCCAGGATTGAGAAAAATAAATTTATAATTTATTAAACATTGTTCTCTGAAAAAAAATTGAAAAATGACTATATGAAAAATGACTTTGGGCAAACAGGTGGCTTGGTAGTTAAGGTGCTGCACAACCACATGGCTATGTTGAAAATCAAGCTGGGTGCGGGTCCATGCATGACCTTGGGGGTGATTTCTCACTTTCCCTCTCTCTAGCAAGCGCATTACATCCTATGGCAAAAATTGAAAAATAAATAAATAAAGGAGTTAAGGTGACATGACTGAAAACCAAGCAAGTAAAAGACAGAGAGAAAAAAAAAAAGACAAGATAAATGAGCTACACAAAATCCAAATAATCCAGATAATGGCATTATTGGCAAGAATATAAAGGATTAAAAATTTCAACCAAGAATTGGAAAATACAAAAAAAATCGACGAATTCTAGAACTCAATAATGCAAAAATTGAAATATGAAATAAAAAACAATTATGTGATTTGCAGCATAACATAACAGACAAAATTAAAGAGAGAACTGGAGGGAGTTTGGGAAAAGGAGTCTAAAGGAAATATCCAGAATGAAGTATGGAGAGACAAAATGATAAAGGGTATAGCAAGAGATGGGGCAAAATTACAGAGACTATACAGTAAGTAAGTAAAAAATATTTCATTATAGCTCTAGAAGGAAGG